ATCGTGGTTCCTGAAGCATGCTGTAGGATAAAAGGGGTAAATGTCAGCTAGCAGTTGGTTAAAAAAAAATCAACAACAAAAAACCAGAGATCAAGAGAATGAACAAAATAGAAATTTAAGATGTTCTGAGATAGTGACCATGACATGGACAGGGGCCAATATTCCCAGCAAATGTCATGTACTTCATGGTCCAATATGGTGGCTTAAGCTCTGGGTATCAAGCCTACATTCTAACAAGGAGAAAAGAAAGGCTGGGATATTCGTGGCATGAAAGCAGAAGGAAGAACTATTTGGGGGAGGGGATGGGGGGAGGGGTTAACTATTTGGGGGAGGGGGTGGGGGTGGGATGAACTATTTGGGGGAGGGGGTGGGGGAGGGGGGTGGGGGAGGGGGTGGGGGAGGGATGAACTATTTGGGGGAGGGGTGGGGGAGGGATGAACTATTTGGGGGAGGGGGTGGGGGAGGGATGAACTATTTGGGGGAGGGGGTGGGGGAGGGGTTAACTATTTGGGGGAGGGGGTGGGGGAGGGATGAACTATTTGGGGGAGGGGATGGGGCAGGGCTGGCAAGATGGCTCAACTAACTGTCCAAGGTTGGATTCCCATCTCAGAGAAGGCTCCAATAAGAATCGTCTTGCACCCTGCTTGACTTTCCTCTGGGTTTTTCCAAAGAGCTTGATTTAATTTTGAAGTTTCAAAAGTAGTTACAGTTTCACAGACGCCAGAGACATTCACTGGAGTTTTAGGGGTGGCCCCGAGTCCACAGGGGCACAGTGTTACTTCCACACGGGAGTTTGATGGACAAATATACTTGGAGGCATTAGGGCTGCGGCTTGAGAACCTATCCGCATTCCTACAAAGTTCACTCATGGTGGGATGGAGTGGGCCCAGACCATGATCTGAGTGCAGAGGGCTTAGAGAAGGTTCTGTGTGGCCATCTGAGCTTTAGCTTCTGGTAAGGCAGCAAGGAAGAGATGGGTGAGGGAGTCAGCGTGTCATGGGCTCTACCTACCGTTCTCTGGGGAGTCTGTGAAAACACAGGCTCGGGGAATCCCAACAGTGAATTTCTATGTGGCAGGTTTACAGTGGTGGGCAGAAGTCTGATTTTCCTGACAGGCTTCCTGGGTGATTTCTGCTGAGGGTGGTCAACTCACTTAGGGAGCAGTGTCTGGGCAGTGTGAGATCTTGGCCATTTGGATCGTAAGCCTATAAGTATGGTGTCCTGGGAATTACAGAATTTCAGTTATTTTTAGACGTGTTGCTAATCTCCATGTCTCAGAAAAATTGCACTGAAGCCCCCTCCTCCATTTTGGAGAAGAGGCCCCCCCCCAGGAAGTTTGAGGGTACCTTGCCTCAGATGCCATAATAAGATAATATTTATTTCTCATTGTTCTGGGTGTTGGAAGCCTGAGACACTAGGGATTTGGGCTTAAACATAGGGATTTTGGGTTCCATATTCAGTCCATAACAGAGCTTCTGTGCTATTGAATGTGGTACTAGTGGGTTAACTAGAAGTTGATGAGGATAAAGACAGATGTGGGGTGCAGGAAAGGCAGAGCAGGGGAGATGGGAAACGGGAATGCTCAGCATCTGTGGACAAGGGTCGGGAGATGGAAACTAGAGTTCTCAGCCTGCATCTATGGACAAGGGTCGTGCTTGCCATTGCATGGGTATTACTTCAGCATCCTCCTCAGGGTCGCTTGTGAGACCACAGGGGCTGCTTCATTTCGCCTCGGGCACTGGTTTAGTGTCCTTTTTTGGCAGTATTATAGATGGACCCAGGGTCTTGTGTGCCAGGACTTTGTGTAAGTTAGGCAAGTACTTTCCTACTGAGCTGTGCCCTTAGCGCTTATATTCTTTAGACTACATCCAACATGTGATTGACAAGGATCGGGGAAAGAAATGCCTTTTTAAAGAAAAACCTTAGTAATCCAGGTATGCTTTTCATTTCTTTTTAAAAATCACTTTACTTCGTTTTTGTGGCCTGCAAGACAGTATTTCTTCTTTTCCGTTGTTGCCTCTGCATCAGTTACTTTTCTGTTGCTATGATAAAACGTCATGACCAGAAGGACCTTACAGAGAGATGAGTTTATTCGGGCTTATGGTTCTAAAGGGAGGGTCCGTATTGGCCAGTGAGGCCTGACACCAAGCAGCAGGCATGTGGACAAGAGCAGAAGGCTTAGAGATCACAGTTGCACCAGCAAACATTAAGCGGAAAGAAAACTGGATGTAAGGCGAGGCTGTGGAGTCTCAGAGCCCATCCCCAGTGATGTGCTTCCTCCAGCCAGGCCACGCATCCCTCCAAACAGCTCCTCCCACTGAGAACCTAGGTCCAAGCACCGGAGCCTGTGGGGGACATTTCTCATTCAAACAGCCTACTTCCCATCTCTAGCTTCTCATGACCGCTCCATCTTTCACTCCTCTGCTTTTATAAAGTCTAAGTGACAGGTGGGCTTCTCTGTCATCCCTTTCGGGGGTCAATACCTGTCTCTATAGCTTATTTTTTCCCAGGTGTCTGCAATCAGCCTGGGGCTCGGACTAGCCTCTGATTGCCGATAGCTCAGATCCTCTGGTGACGGTTCTCTTGGTATTGAAGCGCTAGCTGGTGGATGGCTAGCTCATCGTCTGACTGCTTCTCCAGGGGACAGACTCAGTAACTTCAGGCCCTACTTGCTAAAGATGAAACCATTTAGGTTCTGAGGAGAGAAAGGGATGATGCTTCTAGAGGCACACTTCCCCCACCCCGTGTTTCCGTAGATTAATAGAGCTGGCTTAGGAATCGGGGACAGCCACATTCTAGAACAGGCCGAGCCTATCCCCTGACTCCAGAGGGTCCTTTTCTTTTCTTTAATGGTGCTGGAAAATATTTTTTTTAAATTTTCTTTTAATTAAAGCATATGCATAGGATTCAAGAATAAAAAAGTAGATTATAGTAGCATTTCCCCTCTCTATTCCTAGTTCCAGTGATTTCGTCTCTTTAGCTATAGCCTTTGTTTGCCTTATGATGGCTTACTAACAGATGTACTTCAGCTTTTTCTTTAAATTTTTGATGAACTGCAAGCTTAATTAGGGTAATTTCCAAGAGTATGAATGGGGGTTTTACAGAACCGTGAACAACTCATGGTCTTTCTCTACGAAGGACTAAGCTCCATTTCTTTTTTGTTTTAAAAATATTTAAATACTATACTGTGTATTATGTATATGTGTGTGTGGAAATGTACGTGTGAGTGTAGGTACCCATGGAGGCTGAAGAGAGCATAAGATTCCCTGGAGCTGGGGTTAGAGGCAGGTGTGGTCAGCATGATGTGGGAGCTGGAAACAAATCAGGTCTCTTCAAGAGTAAGCAGTATATGCTTTTAACTGATGAGCCACTGTGTAGCCCAGAGGCTACGCTTCTAACAAGGCCACCTCCTTGACAAGAGGACATCTAGTGCAATCGTTGAATGGGTATTTCCTGTCCTCTGTCCACCAAAATTTGTGGAGGTTGATGATGGTGTGTTCTGGTGTAACAGAACACTGACATTTCGCATAGGACAGAGTGCTTCAGAGAAACAGAACAATACATAGCTTTATATCTATCTCATCTATCTATCTATCTATCTATCTATCTATCTATCTATCTATCTATCATCTACACACCTGTGGTATTGAATTACATGGTTTTGGAGGTCAGGAAGTCTTATCATCTGCCATAGAATGAAAGTATGAAAGTTGCAGAACAGAATGTTACTGGTGCAGTTCTAAGGTCTGAGAACTCAATAACCGGCAGCATAGACGTGGGTCCTGGGACCTGAAAGACTGAGGCCTCTGCTCAAGCAGTTCAGCAGCTTGAAATCCATGCTTCCTCTTCTTCTCCCTCTACTAACTTTATTATTTATTATTAATGTATACATGGTGAGGTGTGTGCGTGTGTGTGTGTGTGTGTGTGCATGTGTGTGTGTGTGTGTGTGTGTGTGTGTGTAAAAGCCAGAGAACAATTCAGGAGTCAATTCTCTCTTACTGTAGGTTCTGAAGATTGAACCAAGCATGGCTAACCAGCTAATCAGTCTTAGGCTCTACCCTTCTTTTTATTCTTTTTTGAGACAGGGTCTCATTTTGTAGCCCTGGATGGTCTGGAACTCACTATGTAGATCAGGCTGGCCTTGAACTTGAAGAATCCTCCTGCCTCTGTTTCCTGAGTGCTGGGATTAAAGATGTACACCGACGTATTTGGCACCTTTCTCCTTCTCTGTTGTTTCCAGGCCCTCAGAAGATTGGTTGAACATGTTGTTGAGGGCCCTCTGACTCCCTCAGCCCCCCAATTCAAGTGATTATCTCTCCTGACTGCGCATCTAGACACAGAGAGAAACGTGCTTAAACAGTTCTCCAGTCAATTCATTCCCTGGTGAAGTTGACACAGAAAAGTAACCATTACATGGCTGTAGGTATTTACAATTTTCTATCTATTATAAATCTTTGATGCCTTAAAAGTCCTTTCAGGCTGAGGAGAAACTGCCCCTCCTAGGGCTGCTGATTCTTAGCCTAGCAAAGATCCCAACAGAGTATGCTTGAACTCCAAACTATCCACACTACCAGCCCACATCTATATTGCATCCATGTAACCCATGGACCAGGCAACTAGATACTGTCTGTAGAAATACAAACCTGGTGAACACTTTCCTAGTAGCAGTGGTCACTGCTCTGTGTCTTTGCTACCGAGAGAGTCCTGACTTAAATGACTTCTTCTGTCCCCTGCCTCCCCATCACGCTGAAGTCATTTTGTATAAGCCTATGTGGCCTGCTGTGCCTCTTGTGTGGAGGACTGTACTGGCTGGCTTTGTGTGTCAACTTGACACAAGCTAGAGTCATCAGAGAGGAAGGAGCCTCAGCTGAGGAAATGCCTCCGTGAGATCCAGCTGTAAGGCATTTTCTCAATTAGTGATCAGAGTGGGAGCACCCTGCCATGGTGGGTGGTGCTGCTCCTGGGCTGGTGCTCCTGGGTTCTGTAAGAAAGCAGGCTGGGGGGGTTTTGCGGACTGCGGGTCTGCAAGATGGCGTCAATCGTGCTACTGAAGGAGAAGAAGCTCATGGAGGTTAAACTTGGAGAGTTGCCAAGCTGGATCTTGACGTGGAATTTCACCCCCAGTGGCATTGTGGGAGCCTTCCAGAGAGGTTACGATCGGTATTACAACAAATACATCAATGTGCGGAAAGGCAGCATCTCAGGGGTTAACATGGTGCTGGCAGCCTACGTGGTTTTCAGCTATTGCATTTCTTACAAGGAACTTAAACATGAGCGGCGACGCAAGTACCACTGAAGAAGGGTCGCTATGGATGGCACTGCACACTTGAGCATAACCGCCTGTCCCACTCCCATCCATGAAGAACTCAACTGTGGCTGAATCTTCAAATCCTGACTAGGAATTAGTGTCTAATAAAAGGTGACTGACTGACCAAAAAAAAAAAAAAAAAAAAAAAAAAAAGAAAGAAAGAAAGAAAGCAGGCTGGGCAGACCATGGGGAGCAAGCCAGTAAGCAACTCCCCTCTGTCTGCTGCTCTGTATCAGCTCTGGTCTCCAGCCTCCTGTCCTGTTTGAGTTTCTGCTCCAACTTTCTTCAGTGGTGAATAACAGTGCAGAATGGTAAGCCAAATAAACCCTTCCCCATAACTTGCTTTTTGGTCATGGTGTTTCATTGTAGCAATAGAAACCCTAACTTCTTAGGACTTAGGGGCCTAGTGAACTTTGTACTCCTGGATTGTTCCTGTGACTACACTTGCCTGATTATCACACAAAGAATGAATAGCAGCTGACCATGGACTTAGGATTCTGCATGTATAACTTGGGACCATGAGAACTCAGGGGATGGTGTGCCTGTTGTTACTTCTCTGACTGTCATCACCCCAGACTCAAACACCTTCTTCTTCTTCTTCTTCTTCTTCTTCTTCTTCTTCTTCTTCTTCTTCTTATTATTATTATTATTATTATTATTTTTAAAAATCTGGGCCATGTAGCATAAGTGTTTTTGAAAAATTGCTTCCAAACTCTCGTGACAAGCACGCTTGTCTTTGAGGATAGGTAACTCCCTCATGACAGATCAGAAAGTTGTAACAAATGGTAGAGCCATTGCTTTCTTTCCACGTAATAAATATCCTATGAATAATTGAAGCTTGCTGAATTAGTTTGGCCACAAAAGCTTCTTCCTCCTTTGCTGGGAATACAGCCAAAATTGTGTATTAAAAGACGTGCACATATGCTCATGTGGAACAAACTCCCTGGCAGAAAGCAAGCAGCGGAGGAGTTAGAAAGGTCCAGAAAAATCAGGCAGCAGAACCAGAGACAGAATGCACAGGGAGAGACAGAATGCACAGGAAGAGACAGAATGCACAGGGAGAGACAGAATGCACAGGAAGAGACAGAACGCACAGGAAGAGACAGAACGCACAGGAAGAGACGGAACGCACAGGAAGAGACAGAATGCACAGGAAGAAACAGAATGCACAGGAAGAGACAGAATGCACAGGAAGAGACAGAATGCACAGGAAGAGACAGAATGCACAGGGAGAGACAGAATGCACAGGAAGAGACAGAATGCACAGGAAGTCTCCCGCAGGTTACACAAGATGAAGGCAACACCTTTCCTTGGGGGAGGGATGTTGTGTTCACCCTTCTGCACCTTTTCTTTTCTGGATTCAACTGAAAGATCAGGGAAAGCTGACCTAGGGATTTGAGCAACACTTGGGGTAGCGATGCCATCTTTGTCCACATCTCCCCAGTGTTGGTAGAAGCTACCTTCTTGCCTACACAAAAACAGGGCTAGATTCTGTGTAGCCAGGCTGGGATTGGAGGTGAAGTGCAGAGATAAGTCTTTTCAATCAATTCAGCCGGCTTGAGTCGGGCAAGAGTCGCTATCCATACACAAAGGCACACTGCAACGTTTGGGTCCTGCTTCCTTGAGAGACCAGGTGACTTCTTGGAGGCAGTCCAGAGGAAGGGGGAAGAGGGAGGCCCCGAAGAAAGATAGAGGAGTCACAAATCCTGCTTGTTCAATGACCCCAACACTGGACATGGGCTGGTTCTACTGTCGACTTATCAAAGGAGCCAAGGAGCTTTGATTTTTGTGGGAAAGTAGTACAATAATAGACAAAGGAATAGACAAATTTAACAAAAATGACAAAGGACATCTAGGGGCTGGGCAAGTGATGATGGGAGAGGAGAGTCAGACATGATACACACAGACATATACACAGACACATACGTTCTCATATACACACACACAGACACGGATACATAGACATAGATAGACAGATTCCAACATACCCCATGCAAAACTGCTGAGGAATCAAATAAGGGATGGAGAGAGAGAGAGAGAGAGAGAGAGAGAGAGGGAAAGGGATAGAGAGAGAGGGAGAGGGAGATAGATAGATAGAGAGAGAGAGAGAGAGAGAGAGAGAGGGCAGAGGGTGCAGTGCTCGGAGATGAGTCTCCTTTGGGTGGGAAAGTCAGAAGAGGCCTCAGAGGAGGTGATGGGTGAGCTGACAAAATGTGGAAGAGTACTTGATTTTAAACGGGGAAGGGCATTCAGTCTGGGTAGTGAGTCACATGTGTAGAGGTGTGGAGGAAATGGGCTGGGAACACAGGAGGGATCCCGATGCACTGGTGTTGGGGAGTTCAAATGAGCTGTTCCAGAGCCAGGTCAGGATGAGGTGGGTAGGCCCTGGTGGGGAGTTCAGGGTTTCTTCCATGTGATGTATTAGAAAACATATTGGGCAGGAAAATGATATCTTATTTTACTTCATTTAAAAGTAAGTTTATTTTATTTTTAACTGACACAGAATAATGGCATGTATATCCTACTGATCAGTTCCTCTTACTTCCTTGTCCATTTTTATGCCTTCTCTGTGGTGTAGTTGCTCTACTCATAAGTCCACAGTAGCTGTGGTTATCTGCATAAGACCTTTAGAAAGTTAGGCTCCTCAACACTTCATTGTGGATGGCTCCACCCCCCGAAACTACGGGAAATTAACATCATAGGGGAATGGATGTCATTTTCTTCAGTGGTGTAGTCACTGACAAGTTGCTCTTGTCCCAGCAAATATTCATCTCCCATCCACACTTAGGCAAGAAACTGTAAACTCAGTGGACCTCATTCAGATGAAGACGTGAAGGTAGGAAGAGGTTTGTGGAGAAAAAGGATTCCAGTAGGAGAAGGAGGGAGAGGAGCGTGTGTGTGTGTGTGTGTGTGTGTGTGTGTGTGTGTGTGTGTGTGTGAGAGAGAGAGAGAGAGAGAGAGAGAGAGAGAGAGAGCGCGACTACAATTAATCTGTGCTGTCACTTCTGACCCTCTGTAGGTCGGGAATACAAAGTAGAAAGAGTGAAGTCTGATGGTAGAGGACTTCGCCTGGTGTTCATCACCGAGTGTGTTCAGGCATGTTGGCTGTTGTTACCGGTCTTCATGCAAAGCTGCCTTGGAAGCTCTGAGCCTATCTCATTCTAACATGCCTGAATCAAGATTCCTTTATTTTTTGAGAACTTTAATATATATATATATATATATTAAATGAAATGTGAGAGTATGACTGTATCTGCCTCCATTTCCACACTGTCTCCTTCTATGCCCCCTCAACATTCCCTTTCTGACTTCATCTTTCTCTCTTTGATAACTCATTACATCTGCTTGGGGCTGTGCATGCATGCATGCTCACACAAACACACATATATATACACAGACACCGCAGGGGTGTGGGGCTACCCAGTACAGTGGCCACACCCTAAAAATAATGACCGATTCTCCATGTGCAGAAGCCACCCAGTTCCAATACACCACTCATGAATGGGTGAGGGCCAGTTTTTAATCTACCCCATCTATGCTGGAATTTTGACTAGCTAGGTCTTGTGAAGGTCACAACAGCTGCCATGAGGGCATGATTACATTAGCTGTCCTGGCCAGAAGACATTTCACAGTTCTCCTCCCCATCTTAGGATCCCATGTGTTGATGGAGACATGCTTTCAGTCTGGACTACATTTGTGAAGACTCCATCGTTAAGATTGTAAAAAAAAAAAAAAGACTTAAGGTCTGCTAGCAGGCCATGCACCCAAAGATGGAAATTGTTCAGGCAGATGGAGTGACTCTTAAGAGGCAGATGTTGCTTTATGGATGGGTGCTACAGTTCTGTAGATGTTGCCCTGGATTCTCTTTGGTCAACTGTCAGGTCCTTGATAGCTCCCTTCCTCCCTCTTCCCCATACTCTCTGCACCACACTAAACATTCCCATGTCTGGTGCCTTAGTTGACCTTGTCCAGTGAAGAGGAGGCCCCAGGTGAGGGAAAGAGGGAGGAAGAATGGGGTGAAGGGTCATCTTTGGTTCTTTCCTGGTGGCCTGCCTAGACTGCTGGATCCTTCCATTGAAGTTCATCATGCTTCCCAAGTTAACCTCTGCCCTCTCCCTTTAGGGTGTGGCAACTCCTCCCCACTTCTCGTTTGGCTCTTTTCATAATGGCTCCTCCACAATTAAAGCCACAATTGCCATGCTCTTCTGATGGCTCTCCACAGCTACAAGTAAATCATATTATAGCCCTTTTTTAAAAAAGGTAGTCTTTTAAATTTATTTTTTAAAATGTGCATTGGTGTTCTGCCTACATGTATGTCTGTGGGAGGTGTTGGATCCCCCTGGAACCGGAGTTACAGAGAGTCGTGAGCTGCAATATTGGTGCTGGGAATTGAGTCCGAGTGCTTTGGAAGAGTAGCCAGTGCTTTTAACCACCTAGTCCTCTCTCCAGCCCAGTCTTTTATCTTTTGATATTATAATTACATAATTTCCCCCTTTCCTTCCCCCCACGAAGTCCTTCCATGTACCCCCTCACGTCCCGCCCCCTTTAAATCCATAGCCTACTTTTCTTTGTTACACACATACACACACACACACACACACACTCCCAAACACAACCTGCCCAGTCTGCATAATGTTTCTTGTATGTGTATGCTTTCTGGGCTGACCATTTGGTGTTGGCTGATTAATTGGTGTGCTCCTCCCTGGGGGAGACTTTTTCTTCTGCTCTCAGCATTCCTTCATTGCCTATATTTCTTGTCTAGGGCTGAGGTTCCCTGAGCTCTCTCCTTTCACGTTTTCATGTCTTGTGTAGGCAGCTGTGTTGGTGAGGCTTTACGGGTGTACTTCTGACATTTCCAGGAGACGCAGTCTCACAGCAAGCTCCCTGTTCTTCTGGCTCTTGCAGTCTTCTGCCCCCTCTTCCTCAGAGATCCCTGAGCCTTAGGTGTAGGTGTAGGGGTGTATGAGTATCAGTTGGATTTGGCTTCATAACTCTGCATTTTGATTGGTTGTAGCTCTA